ATTATATTTCCTATTATTTTTTAAAACTAATATTAAATGTAAAATGAATGGGTTTAGAAACAACTTTAAATTGAATATATAAAATTCTCTCTCTTTCTCTCTCTCTCTCTCTCTCTCTCTCTCTCTCTCTCTTTCTTTCTCGTCTATTAAAAACATGGAATTTCACGAGTCTTTTGTAAGAGGGGTTAAGTTCCAAGCACTTGGCAAATGATCGATAATGGCGAACAAATAGGCATAACGCGCTACAGACGAATGGCGGAGATGCGAAAACAAATCGATTGCGTGATAGAAAATATACGAGTGTTGTCGGTTATTATGTAGATTCATTGCACGATTACGTTCATGCGTGTATGCGTATACGCGGAGTAACGGCATCTCGTAATTTGACAGGTATTCTATAAAATTACTGGAGACGTAAAAAAGTACTGCGCAACCTGTCATGGAGATGCAAGTCATGCGTTTCTATTCGTTCGGACTCGTTGGCTTTGTGGTCTCTCATAGACTGTTGGATTTTTGATAGACTGTCGGTTCTTTGAATGACAATTGGCAGAAAGGAGAGACGAAGTGGGATTTGTGTATCGTTGGAGTCTGAGCCACGATAAAATTCGCGTCGCGCTGTACACATTGTGCTTATTTTCCCAGCCAGTGGATCGATTATCCGATGTTGATAGACTGCTTTTTTCCGGCTACGTTTAGATTAATCAAAACAACAGTGCTTTCAATGTCGAAATAATTGGTTCGAGCGGTAGATATTAATTTCGTAGGGAATGATGGGCTATAAACCGTGCCGCCGAAATTATTGAATTTTCAAAGTACTCGTGTACCTATTACTACTTTCAGTGACAAATAATTAATCAGGATTTATAAACCGGCCACGCGGAAATTACGCATCGTTCGATTCGGCACAATGATGCCGGTTCGCTAGCGTTCATTAAATCGTCGATCGATCAATCGGCGAATTACGTGCGTTACAATAAAACGCCGACGACATCTCGTCGCTGTCATATCACGACCATTCGCGGCAAATTGAATTATAATTTATAATAAACGACAAAGTTCTCTTTTACATAGCGCGACGTAGGCTAATAGTTTCCATTTAGGTATGGAGTTTCTAAATCTAACGAATGATCAATTAATATTCAACGTACGGTCCCATAAATATTGTACTTAACAATTAATGTCGCAAATCAATACATTCGTCTTTGGAATTGTCTACAACGATTTACGTTCCATACTTTTCATCTCTCATTTACGGGATATTTACTCTCAATAAGTAACATTTATTCTAACTATTAATTGCAACCACGTTCCCTTGATTACTTATTATTATGAGGAAATTTCATAAGATTTTATTCAGATTGTGCACGTGGAAGCTAATAATGGCTCGAGAGAACGAGATCGCTGCCTGTCGCAAAGAAATTTCACGAATCTCTTTGCGGCCCCATCATTATTCTATTCTCAGTTTGGAATCGTCCTCGCTCGAGGGAGATTCTTCTTTCACGGCGGGCGCTCTTGCAGGCGCAGCCTGCTGTGAAATTGAAAAATTTTCGCGCGTTCTGCGTGGCTTCTGCAGACGAGTCACCCGGTGTGTTTGCCTGTATGTGTGCGCGCGCGTATACATGCGTGTGCGCAGACTGCCGGGTTACCGGTTAGGCTTTGAGACCCACCAAACAGACCGGAAAATATGCAGGCTGCATAATTCAGCATAGGCGCGCGCAACGTGTACACGCGTGTGCAGTGTGCACTTGTGCACGTGTATGCGTGCACGAGTCGTTCACGGTTATCAGCCTCGCGAAGTGATACGTCCACGTTCGTTCCTTCCTTCCGTCTCACCGTACGCATTTGAGACTTGCGCGTATTTCTTTTGTCACCGTCGTTGCGTGGCCATTGCCAAATTATAAGCTTTCTTACGCGGCGAACGGACGCGGGATATCGAGGTCGATTGCCTTCTCGCTGGCTGTAACGATCGTGTCGATCGGAATCATATACACTATACGATATACATCGAGATAGCAGGTGCACCGGTCTTTTAGCCGGTGTACTCGATTAATTCTTTGCGATGCGTTCGATGCGTCGCAATGCGCGATGCAGCGAAATATCGCGATCGCTCCCTGA